TTCTGAATCAGGTTGTTCCACCCTCTCGTAGTCAGGAGTGTGATTCTTCTGACCGCCCGCAAAGATGGCTTTAACATTATCCACCTCTACTTGGTGAACTAACAAACCTTCTTTGGCCTCAGAGGAGGATACGGCATCTGTGCTTTCAGCTGGCAGTGATCGCAGGCTCCTGGAGACGACTGTTAGTCATGATTGAAAAGATAGTTTACAAAGGTTAGGCGACACTGCCGGAAATTTCATTTATGAAATCAGCTATCTTATTAACTAAAGCATGCATATCTTAAGGTACAGCAAGGATAGCTGAAATATAATAAAAGACAGACTTGATATTTATATACAACTCACTTGAGGAGGGCGTGTAGAGCTCCTTTGTTTGGGTGTTTCCACCAAACGGATTGACTGATGGGAAGATGATCAGACAGAAGGAGAGCAGGAAAACCTGAAAGTCCAATGAAAAAGTGAGAAAAATAGCAGAGCGTGACAAAGACCTTCACACTGAGAAAAAAAAAAAAGCCAATTTACCATAACACAAGTGCTGGTTGTGCTGGCCTTCATGGTTGACATCTTCACTATAGCCTGAAGTTTTCTCAGTTGTTCAATCAACGACCTGTTTATTTACAAAAACCAAACAAAAACAAGAGGACGTGTTCAATGTAACTGATTCAGAAGCTTGACCCGACTATGTAAAAACCCAGAAGCAAAGAAATGGCTTCTTACATGTTCTGTTTCTGAAGCATTTGGACTTTCTTCTGTAGTTCCAGGTTGTGTGCAGTGCAGATGGCCACCCTGTGACAGAAATCAATTCATCATTTAGCATTTATCAAGAATCAGACACACAAGTGTTTGCTCTATATTAAAAATCTTTTCTTCTCTTCTAATTTGATTTTAGTCAATTAGAGAATTTATTGACCATGATTTTATCTGGCCAAGAACAACAACAACACAAACAAGTCCTTGTCTACCATTATCAATAATACCATCCTGTCCTGCCATAAACGAATCAATATATTGATAAAAATCTTGAAGTTTAAAACAAGAGAGCTTAAAATGAAATACAGTGGAACCTCCACTTACGAAATGAATTTGTTCCCGAGGGTTTTTCGTAAGTCGAAAGTTTACGTAAGTCGAAGTACCCATCGCGCCTTTTGAGTGAACAATAGGCTATAGGCTAATTGCTAACTGCAACAACAATACGTCGTTCAAGTGGAACAGCGAAGCACAAGTACGAAAGCCGAGGGATTGTCACATGATTCGGAAGGCATTCTGGGCTCAGCCAATCAGAGCCAGCAGATTTTGTTACGTGGGCATTTTGCCGTAACACGGGCAGAAATATTGCCGTTAAGTGCCTTCGTAACTGGGGTATTCGTAAGTCGGGGTTCCACTGTAGTCAGTCAAAATATTTAGATAATTAAGATATTCTGAAACTGATTACAAAACAATGTAGCCACATCCTTGGAGTCAGTGACTATATAATAATAATAATAATATATATTAAAGATTATATTAAAGATTTTGATTTATCATTTGTATCTCACCTGTTTTCCAGTCCATCAACATACACCTTCTTCTTCTTGCGGCTCTCCTGAGCAGACTGCTTGTTGCGGATCTTCCTTCTGATCCTCTTCAAAGTCCTCTCCTCTGCCTGTTACGCAGAGCAGAGCAGGCTTTCAATCACCACGCTCACAAGACAGATGACGATGTGTATAAAACAGCTTTGAGCAGCTGTGCCACAGAAAGACCAATTTAATATGCACCCAACAAAGTAAGTATGTAACTAAAGAGATATCAAAAACACCTGAAGTAAAAATTACCTTAGTGAGGGGCATGTGTTGGGGAATGGTTACTCCTTCTTTTGCCAAAAGCCGCTTCTCCTCCTCAGTGAGCACAATCTCTTTAAACTGGAACTAAAGAAGGGAAATACAAAGTTTTTCTTTTAGAAATTTTCTGTGTGTTCTTATCTCGTTAACAACATGTGTCAAACATCACTGAAAACATCAAATACAGTCTCTTTGGTCTTCTGGTCTGGCATAAGAATAGCAAAAGAAACTGACCTGGTCTTCTTTGATGGACTCTGTTGTATCTTGTACCGAGTCCTCTATGGCCAAAGTGCAAGGCAGCTCACTGCTGACATCCTCCTCCATCGCCTCAGTCACAAGGTCATCTGTGAGAGGAAGACTAGTCATTTAAATCTTCCATCCCCCACAAATTCCACACAGACCACATCTCATGTTCCTTTTAAGAGATTTGAAATTCTAAGATAAAATAAAATGTTAAAGTTTCAGTAGTTCTTCAATAAATGATAAATACCCAGATCAATGAAGACATCTGTATCTGGCTTCTCTGCCCTCACACTCTGCAGCACGTCCATATCCCTCCCTCCGCTCTGCAGCAGAGAGTAGCTGTGATCTGCTTGGACTGTTAAGGCCTCAAAGCTTTCTGTTTGTGCCTCTGAATAAGTCACGGCAAGGTCGGAGTGCACCGGGCTCGGTTGGGAGTAGCTGGGACTGGGCACAACATCACTATCACTGCTATGAGGACTGGGGCATCCAACATGGTTGTTATTTCCAGCCCCGGAGCTGCTGTCGTCTGAAATGCCACTGTCGCTGCCCAGTGGAGAATGGGAGGGAGAGATGGTCTCCGTGTTGTCCTCTCCATCTAACAAGCTGGATAGAAAATCTTCAGTATCCATGTCTGGCAGCATCTGGGAGACAAAGGTGTGTTAAATTCTAAAGCAAACACACACACATACATATAAGACTGTTAGGCTTTAAGAAGCTGTATTACCATGTAGTACATCTGGTATTAAGACTCAAAGATGTTTATATTACTGCTTCCAAAGCATGACTCATTTTAGCACCTAGTTACTTCAGATAATGCATTAAACCGCCATCTAACCAATTTCACTAACAACATTAACTTCCTCTTACATCTTGTTCAGACAGCCATGACTCAATGAGCCCATTCCCATCAGGAAAGAAGGGCTCAGTGGATCCATTCTCTCCATCATGGAACAGCAGTCCAAACAGGTCTGCTCCATCCATGTCCGGAAGATCTTCTGCTATTGACATCTGCAGATAAACAACAAAATACAGAGGATAGCATATTTAATATCTGGTAATAATAACATTTTAATGTATATAGAAGTTATGCTGCTAAAACAGAAGTATAACATCACTGTCTGGAATATTGAGAACAGCAAAGTTCATAGTGTATTACAGTTCAGTTGTGCGATCACCTAGTTAGGAGTTTGGGTTAGGTTAACTGGTTCTAAATAGGCCACAGGTGTGAATGGTTATGTGTTAGCCCTGTGGCAGATTGGCAGCCTGTCAAGTGTGTACCCTGACCTCACCACTGAACTGGATAAGCAGAAGAAGGGAGTATGGATGGTTGGCTTTAATAGGATAAAATTCTATAGGATTTTATAAGTCTACTGGAATTTCTTTTATGATCCTAAAATGATTTTAAATTGAGGCTCAATTAATTCTACAATTGAATCATTATGTTTTCTAATGGATCAAACCGTTTTTAAATGACCCATGAATCTCTCTGTTATTGGGGGTTTGTAGCCACGTGACTTAGCTTGCTTATTAAAGTTCATGTCATTACTTCCCTTCCCTGATTGCTGTGTAAAAGTGCTGATACCCAACAAAATACTACGATTTTTATAACAGGTCAAAGTGCGCCTGATACATCAGCGTTGGTACATTGCACCGTGACGGTCCAGTAACCATCCACTGGATGCTGCTCTGTACTTTGCCTTAGCCTCCACGCGGAGACTGCAGGTGCATAGCTGTATTGAATGCATGTCAGCCGTGTAAGTATATGAAAAGCAGATGTAGTTCCCTGACAAGGGGCCGGTAACACGTATAGTAGCCTCTTATTGCATCAGCGCCACGGTTTTATCATGACCTCATCCTATAGTAAGCCCCGCCCCCCATGCCTTTGTCACGGGGTCTGAATGCAATATCAAGTGTCAAAATAAATAAGCTGCATAATTTTTAGTTTATCCAATATCGTGAAACGACTGTTTGAACGCTGCAGTTTGCCGAGGTTTTGAAAATGGCTGTGCGCCGAATGCAGGGTGCTGGTATTCAATAATATAAATAATACTACTAATAATTTTTTGATATTTATATTAGCCATTTTATACATGAACGAAATGACTTAGTTAAGCTAGAAGTTTGCGTAGGTGATTTTTTTTTTTTTGCTTATGAATTTAAGAAGCTCAAAAGTGTAATCATCGTCAAAAGGCAGGAAACGTCTTCTTAGGCCAACATCGAGGAATCAGCAGCATTCCGGTCTAGCATTAACATTAGCCTTATAATACTGTTATAATCTTTTTCTGCTGAGGGCGTGGTCCCCTGTATCATTAAAAACACAGGGAAACATCAACAACTGGTAAGATTGGCATTAATTTCCTTACCGTTTGATGGCAAGAGACGAAATACCATTCGAGTGAGTGCGTCCGAGTGTCTTTTGGTTACTCTACTCGTGTTTTTTCAGCTGCCGCTGTATACCGTCAGACCGCTTCCTACTGAAACCACCTTCCAACGAGGCAAAAATTGCGTCATCACGTAAAGGCGGAAATGAGTACGTGGTCTTCTTTGGTGTTTCTGGGAAATAGAGTTAGTTTTGTATCTCCGGTACGTGATAATTGCACTGCTTTCTTTAAGCTAATGTATGGATCATGTTATAAATAGACCAGGAATTATTATATAGAAAAATAAATAAATCTGGTAAATGTAAAATTCGGTGTTAAAAATAAATACAAATACATAACAAATAAATAACAATAAATAATAAATAGGTGTCAAAAGGTAAAAATATATAATTATAAATTAAATAAAAATTAATTAGCCAACAATGCATGTTAGCAACTTATTTTATAATGATATGAATTCACTGCGTATAATGTCTGTTTGGATTTACAGCTATAAAACACACACACACACACACACACACACACAAAATAATTTTAACATCAAGAAGACGAAGCAGCATTTTTAGTTTTAAATTTATTTCATTCAGCACATTTGCATGGACACGGAATCATAAAAAGACAAATAGATTCAAACTCTTACCAGAATCGTTTCATTCAAAACTGAAATTTTATTTTGCCATGTGAACTACTAACTGTTAGTTGGTCTTCATAGCTTAATGTCATCTAGTGGATTTTTTCAGGCCACAGGGAAAATACCGAGGTCAGCCAGTCTAAGAACAGGGACATCTCATAGAGACGTATTATATAAGATGTAAAATCTCTACTTACTATCTCATCACAAGCATTAAGGAGTACAATGAAACCAGGCTGTCTGATTTCATAAACAGATGAAAAAAAAAACTAAGGCATCGAGGAGAAGTGCAATTAAACATTTAAGACATAAACACATTTTGTGTAGATACTGCATGTTTCGCCACTTTTTCAACAAAATATTGTGGATTTATGTCTCTTCATAAAAAATAAGCTACAGTGATTCTCATAGGGCTTGTTGTTACAACACAACTAAGCGTAGGCCAAGTGTGAATTAGAAATATATGGCCTGCATGACCCAAATAATAAGTTCTGCATGCCATCTAATCATTGCTATGCTGACTTGGATAAATGAGATTTCAGAACATTTCAAATTTCTTGAGATTTCCTGTCCCTGCAAGAAAAAAAACAGACGAGGACAGCAGCAACATAGCTACAGAGACATAAGAAAAGACCAATTTTAGGACTTGAGTGGGGTTATATACCATAATTTCAATTTATACTACTGGACTGAAAATATTCTTGTTTTAATTTTTTATTTGTAATAAATCCATGCATCCAAGTCCATAACTTAATTAAATTTCCAGAGCAAAGAATTTTGTCACAGAATTGCACAGAGTTTAGATGTCTGCCGTAAACTGCGGTACACTTTTAGCCGTTCTTTTTTACTTGTTGCTGTGGGTCTGACTGCCTGTTTTACCACAGGAATGCTTTCGACAACCCGTCTCTTGTGAAAACGGTGTAGCAGAATCCGATAGACACCAGTGATGGAGCTCCTGCAGTCTTTGCCCTGGTTGTTCAGGATGTGCTCCGAGGTGATTCCCAGTGCCTCCAGCGAAGACTTTATCTCCATCTCTTCCTCAGTGAGATCTGATGGATCACTCTCTGCGAGGTAGGATGGATCCAGTTTAAAGGGTTCCATGGCGTGCGGGAGGTCCACGGGGAGCAACCACTCGCAGCCCATCATCTGCTCCACTGTACAGCGGTCAGTTGGTATGGGTTGGAGGAGTCCCCTGGTTAGCTTCTGGCATGCATCTGGCACCCAAGAGGGAATGATGTAGGCCCCATCCATGATGCATCGCTTTAGTTTGGCCACAGTGTCCGCCCTGAATGGCATTGTGCCTGTCACCATAAAAAACAACATCACCCCTAGGGCCCAGATGTCTACATAGATGCCAACATAATGCTCATCCCTAAAGAGTTCAGGTGCAGCGTATGGCGGAGAGCCACAGAATGTGTTGAGTGTCTCATCGCGGCGGCTCAGTGTGCTGAATCCGAAGTCCCCCACCTTCACGCAAGAGCCGTTGGTGTAGAAGACATTTTCTGCCTTCAGGTCACGGTGAATGATGTTATTTTCATGCTGTGGGAGAACAAAAAGAAGATCATATTATATGAGAATCGAAAATCTAACTATAGAGGAAGGACTGAGTGTTTGTCGTTATCTGTACTTCTACTTAAGTAAAGAAAGTCTGTACTTTTGCCACCTCTGTTCATGTAACCTGACACAGTGAAAACAGCAGCAGAAGCATCGCGTCTATCTCGAATTAAAAAAAACATGTTTTGCTCCTTGTTACTTCTTGGATATTTCATCCTGATATCAAGAACAGATCTTTATTAATTATTTTGTCTAGTAGGAATTAGTTATGGCAGCTGCAACTATAGTTCCGTCGATCTGTGTCAGCATGTGAACTGCTCTTCCACATATTAAATATTCTAGTGAAATATTACAATGCAATATTTTTTTTCATCTATTTTTATTCTTTGACAACCTGCAGATGGAGAGAGAATGAATGACTAAAATCTAAATGCGGTGCACATGAAAAGAGTGAAAGTGCTGGTTACAAGTAATGAATCATTACACAGCTATTGTGCAAACATTCAGCCCTGACAGAAATTGTCATATGAGATTTAATAGGTTAGAGGATTAGATGAACACACTGGCTTATTCAGGTCACCGTAGCAGCAGAGAACAGGCAGCACTATAGATGTCAAAGTTATACGACTATCAAGATTTTATATTATCAGACAATTTTAATATAAACGTAAATTCACTGACCATGTGTTTAACAGCAGAAAGAATCTGAGCAAAGACAAACTTGCTGTCAGTGTCAGAAAGCTTTCCTTCTGTAGTAATCTTGGTGTAGAGCTCCCCTCCGCCTGCGTACTCCATCACTAGGTGCAAACGTGACAAAGTCTCCACCACCTAAACACATACAGTGCAACTACATATGTTAGAATACATAAGCAGAAAAGTACTTGATGTCGGATAGATTTAATGATCAAAAAAAGCACAATGGCATTAGAAAGACACTTGAAAGTCCAAAATACCTCATAGAGGCGTATGATGTTGGGATGGTGTAGTTTTTCCATGCTAGAGATCTCCCTGGACAGCAGCCGCTGGGTCTTCTGATCCATCTTGGTCTTATCTAAGATCTTTATGGCCACTTTGTCTAGTGATGCAAAAGGAGACATTTGGTCACTGATTGCTGTACACATAATACATCTCGACACAGGGAAAAAAAAAAAAAGGTTGAGTTTTTAATCACTTTTCTAATAAATTTTAAATTAGTTGTTACATAAATCTTTTGTAGACTGATGATAGACACTGTAAGCCTGGTTCCACTTAGCAGTTCAAACAACACTCTGGTCTGGATAACTGAGATGAAAGTTTTGCTGATCCTGAACTAAATTTTCATGATTATATTCTTCCAGGGGGTCATATGATTTATTTTCTTAGACAGTCATAAATTACTCCAAGTCTCAGTAGATATGTAGGCTCACACCGAGGATGGCAAAGGGTTAAAAAAAATAAAAAATAAAAAAAGACTGGAATAGAGTGCTACATTAGCTGCGCTGTTAAAAATCAAAATTCAAATTTAAAAATGAATAAATTTTTACAGTTTTACAATGATCAAATGCACTCTGAATTTTGAAAAACTGATATCTTGGCTGTGTTCCGTTAAATGATTCATAGAGATGCATAAAGTAGACCTCAGGTAACTGAATACAGAAAAGTTCTTAAGTGGCAAAATGGTGTTGAGATATCTAATTGTTCTACAGTATGCATTATTAAGGCTGGCATTAGACTCTCTTTCAGCTGTGACATAGCTTTCAATAGGAGCATTTAAAATGCACTGCAGCTCATTTTGTGTTTTGACTAAATGACACCACTGACCTAAACATTGCGCACACACACACAGAACCAGAGCCAGCCACAGAGTAAAAACGCCTTAAAAACCTTAAATGGTAAAAAAAAAAAAAAAAAAAAAAAAAAAAAAAATCCATGCATGAACACGCACACAAACACACACAAACACAGACAAACAAAGCTACACTAATTTTCCTCTGTCGTTGTAGCCTTTGATGAGGCATGCGGCAATTTTAGCCGTCGCTAAGGAAACTGGAGATCTCTAATCAATCCATCTGTTCAAGGGCAGCAGACAGTCTGTCTCTTTGTGGCTGAATCAGCCCCCTGGCCAGGCACAAATCGCCATGTTAGTAAATTGCTATAAGCACACATTTGGTAGTGTTGCAGCCCATTAATGGAAACAGGTTATCACCCAACTTATTAAGTCTAATAAGAAGCCACCGTAATAAAAGGAAGCTTGTGCGTCGTGTTTTTTTTTTTTTATTCCAATGTGTTTAGGCGATGTTTTTATGTGACGCTGTGCAAATGTCTGTAAATATTGCCATTCGTTTCACAGTGGGGTTTACCTTTGGTGAGAGCATGAATTCCCAGCTTAACATGGGAGAAATTTCCACACCCGAGCTCTCCATGAATTTTGTAGAAGCCGATTCTTCTGCCCACTGTTAGCTCACGGACCAACCTGCCAGCAGTTTAGATAATAAAGCATTTAACACCAATTTTCACAATTTGGCAAGTAAAAAAAAGAAAAAGAAAAAAAAAACCCACAATGAAAAATATAACAAGTAACTTACAATCACCATACCTTTCATCCTGGCACATATCCAGGTTCAGCCTTTCCAGGGGAGTGAGGCGGCGGACGGTGGCTCCTTCATCATCTGTGTTTATGTCAGAGCTGTCCTGCCGGCTCCAGCGGGCATTCCTTTGGCTGCTACTAGTAGAGGCCACGGTGCTTCCAATGGAACCTCGGATCGAGTCTCCATGAGAATCCGCGCTCTTGACCCCAGTTACTGAGCTGGTCCCAGTGGTTCCTCCTGCTCCTGACCCCTTAGAGCCTGCTGTCTGAGTCCCAGCTTCAGCTCCGTCCGGGCTACTCTCAGAGGGGTAGACTGCAGTCATCCTGCAGGTGACACACAAGACGGTCTGGGCTTAGTTCATAGCAGGAATTGATACAAGACTGGATACAGAATATGAAAGAAAAAAATAAATTTTTCTCAATACATTTTGAATACCCCGTTTTTCTTAACAGAATCACCTTCAAAGTAATTTTTTAAATGCCGATTAAACTCTTATGATAACTATAATGTTTGTGTCTCCAGTCCTAAAACTGTAAAATACATGTAATATATCATAAATGTGATGCCCACTTCAATATGTGCTCTATTTTTATTAGCAGATTAACAATAAATTTTGTTCCACACTTTTACAATATGTTCACAACAGCAATAATATTATTGCAGACATAATCTGCGTGACGTGAAATGAGAACGCGAAACGTATGCACGATAGTATCAATTTTGAATTTATGCTTATAGCCTACTATCCTGGTTCTGCTGTACTATGATGGATTCGATATGAAAACCGATAAAGCAAATTTGCATGCGACAGAAGCCTTGACTTACCTTTGAATGTGTGATCCTTTTCCATTTAGAAAGTAAGTCCTTTAGTGTTCTTGTCGAAATCTACCAAAGTCACATAGACAAGTGAGCCAATAAGCATGGTTTAACTTGGAAGACTGCTTTTCTACTAAATGAGTAAAAAAATCAGTGGGTCCAAGGCTCATGCTTCATCCAGAATTTCCAAAAATCTGCTGTAGCTTAAACTGTCCTTGCAGCTTGTAATCTGAAGGCTAAAGCACTTGTTGATATTTTAGTTTTCCTCACTTACGGATGTTCAGGAAAAGGTGACGAGCACGGAGATAAGATAAACGGGGAATTTAGGCTTACTGGAGTCTTTTTCTGAACAGGTCCGTGGGCTTTAATAGACTGCTTCGAGTCTCCAGGGTATAAATAGGCCACGGGGTGAGGAGGAGGGGAGAGGAGCTGGATAAGAGGGGGCAGGCTGGGGCAGAGGGGATGAACAGATGATAGTGTCAGGGTGCAGCCATGGAGTGGTTACCTGTAATGAAGGAAAAGACAGACATAAAAGTAAGCGTCTTCTATGTTATGTTTTCTGTCTATATCAAAGCTCATGACAGCCTCTTTTACTTTGGTGCCTTTTTTTGCTTAATGTTGGTTTACCTACCTAAGAACATGCATGCAGTATTCTACTCTCTATATGGATCAAGCGTCTCCAGAAAAAACACATTTGTTCTAGATTCCATCTTAAGTTTGTTTTTAAAAGGATAACACAAATGTACCTGTGCAGTATCTTCTTGAGAGCTTGTTAATGTGCGCAGAAGCTCCTACTTCGTCTGCTGTTTGACTCATGCTCCAAATGTGCTGCAGGCTGGGGTTGCTAGGAGAGCCAGAATAAACAAATCTGAGATACTCATTACTCTCTGCGATGAAGAAGACACTCACAACCTGAAATACCTGCATGACTAACCTTGATCATTTCATTGCAGTATGTCACACCTCCTGCTGTTTGTGTTTGATGTGGGGTGTGGGAGTGCAAAAGAGTGTAATTAGGTGATAACTGTGTACTGCTCTGGGAACACACGTCTAACAATGTCCCGTGAGATGGAAAAGAAAAGGCGAATCCGATTGGCAAGGCACAAGTTAAATAAAATGTCTGTTTTACAGTGATTAATCTGGCAGATAAAATAACTTAATGACAGAATTTGGTGAATAGTAATTGGAGTAAATCTGGAGTTGTTTCAGAACTGCGCTATAAATAAACCTTGATTTCACCAAACTGAGTCCAAAAAATGGTTTTGTCTTAGATACTATATGTTATATCTAACCATGTATTATTTCAAAGCAAACTCAGGTGCATAATTTAGCAGCCCATCCATCCATACATACATACATAGAGTGCAGAATTATTAGGCAAATGAGTATTTTGTCCACATCATCCTCTTCATGCATGTTGTCTTACTCCAAGCTGTATAGGCTCGAAAGCCTACTACCAATTAAGCATATTAGGTGATGTGCATCCCTGTAATGAGAAGGGGTGTGGTCTAATGACATCAACACCCTATATCAGGTGTGCATAATTATTAGGCAACTTCCTTTCCTTTGGCAAAATGGGTCAAAAGAAGGATTTGACGGGCTCAGAAAAGTCAAAAATAGTGAGATATCTTGCAGAGGGATGCAGCAGTCTCAAAATTGCAAAGCTTCTGAAGCGTGATCATCGAACAATCAAGCGTTTCATTCAAAATAGTCAACGGGGTCGCAAGAAGCGTGTGGAAAAACCAAGGCGCAAAATAACTGCCCATGAACTGAGAAAAGTCAAGCGTGCAGCTGCCAAGATGCCACTTGCCACCAGTTTGGCCATATTTCAGAGCTGCAACATCACTGGAGTGCCCAAAAGCACAAGGTGTGCAATACTCAGAGACATGGCCAAGGTAAGAAAGGCTGAAAGACGACCACCACTGAACAAGACACACAAGCTGAAACGTCAAGACTGGGCCAAGAAATATCTCAAGACTGGTTTTTCTAAGGTTTTATGGACTGATGAAATGAGAGTGAGTCTTGATGGGCCAGATGGATGGGCCCGTGGCTGGATTGGTAAAGGGCAGAGAGCTCCAGTCCGACTCAGACGCCAGCAAGGTGGAGGTGGAGTACTGGTTTGGGCTGGTATCATCAGAGATGAGCTTGTGGGGCCTTTTCGGGTTGAGGATGGAGTCAAGCTCAACTCCCAGTCCTACTGCCAGTTTCTGGAAGACACCTTCTTCAAGCAGTGGTACAGGAAGAAGTCTGCATCCTTCAAGAAAAACATGATTTTCATGCAGGACAATGCTCCATCACACGCGTCCACGTACTCCACAGCGTGGCTGGCAAGAAAGGGTATAAAAGAAGAAAAACTAATGACATGGCCTCCTTGTTCACCTGATCTGAACCCCATTGAGAACCTGTGGTCCATCATCAAATGTGAGATTTACAAGGAGGGAAAACAGTGCACCTCTCTGAACAGTGTCTGGGAGGCTGTGGTTGCTGCTGCACGCAATGTTGATGGTGAACAGATCAAAACACTGACAGAATCCATGGATGGCAGGCTTTTGAGTGTCCTTGCAAAGAAAGGTGGCTATATTGGTCGCTGATTTGTTTTTGTTTTGTGTTTGAATGTCAGAAATGTATATTTGTGAATGTGGAGATGTTATATTGGTTTCACTGGTAAAAATAAATAATTGAAATGGGTATATATTTGTTTTTTGTTAAGTTGCCTAATAATTATGCACAGTAATAGTCACCTGCACACACAGATATCCCCCTAAAATAGCTAAAACTAAAAACAAACTAAAAACTACTTCCAAAAACATTCAGCTTTGATATTAATGAGTTTTTTGGGTTCATTGAGAACATGGTTGTTGTTCAGTAATAAAATTATTCCTCAAAAATACAACTTGCCTAATAATTCTGCACTCCCTGTATATATCTGAGAGAGACTCCAAACAATCAATTAACCAACAATAATTGATGAGGTTTCTTCCACTGTTAGCCAAAACAATAAATAAATAAATATAAATATATATATATATATATATATATATATATATATATATATATATATATATATATATATATATATATATATATATATAAATTCAAATTGGGTGTTAAATTTCTTTTGTTACAGCAACCATGGGCATAATACTTAGATTCAGTTTCACACACACCGGACTGGTCTCATACACTCACCAAGACTCCAATTATCCAGGTAAATCCACAATTTACACCCGTTTGACTGCTTTGTTTTGTTTTTAACAAAATCCCTGTATATCAACACTACGGCCCGATGGGCTTGGTGCATCTGAACAAACTAATAAACAATAAACTAATTAAACTGTGCCCAAAGAAAACATTTGTGCTGGCATAACAAATAGTAATAAGTCGTACGTAAAGGAAAGAACAGAAACGGTTAGTGTATCATGGAGCTTTCAAAGGCTCTCCATCAACTGTCCATATATTAAAATGAATGAATCTGTGTTGAAGGCTCGCCAGAGAATCAAAGCGGTTCTCTTTTGTGAGGCCTAGAGTCTTCCAGCTTTCAAACACCTTCCTGCCATGGAACCATGAATATCTGCGTATTGATCTAGGGCAGCCTAAAAGGACTTGCTAAGGGAGGAGAGACGCGCTTTATAGCACAAAGCAACATGTGCCGAATACATGCCTTTTATGTGAGTAAATAAAAACACTAAAGGACAGCCATGCATGAGATAAACTGGTTAACAATGAAGGAGAGCATGGAAAGTTTTGGTACCCCAATCACCATTATTACCAGTTTTTTGTCCAGACATTTTCTTTAAGGATATTCCTGAATGAACAGGATTGATTAATATGTCTGAATATATGCAAATACAGACATGTTTCCATTTCTTAACATTACAAACACTATAATAGTCTCAAACGTGATGTAATAATCAGGGAAACATTTGCCATATTGAGTAAAACAACTGGTAAACTACACTGGCTCTACTGATAGCAACTGAGTTTAGAGTATCTTCAGAAAAGGTCCATAAATGGGTATTTACTGAGAATGCTTTGTCCTCGGCTTCCACTGTATAACACATCTAGCAGGTTGCTTAGTGATGAACACTGACCAAACGTGTTTGTGTAGGGTTGAGGATTAGGCATTAACTGGATCTCCTCAAGGAAGAGAGTACACAGTGTCATATTTACAGTTGCACTGAGCCTGCGAGTACCCGTGCTAATCGTGTATATGAGCAGACTGAAAGACATAAACACACCAACACGTGCACAATAGCGGATTCATGAACCGTTCACGGTGGTGAATGCACTGGGATTCCACTCAGATTGCACTGAGGTACTGTTGCTGCAAAAAGTTGTTGAAAAATGAAATATTGCAATAAAAAAATTTATATTTTTGTCCATGTAACAAAGAAAGTTACTGATAATGAGAAAAACTAACAGACCTAAGGTGTTATGAGTTATTTTCATGTTATTTTCCTCATTGAGTTATTTGAGGAAGTAATGCTAAATATTTTAAATTCTAAATTAGTTGCATTCCCCATACAGTTAATGCTATGACTTAATATTGAATGCAATCTTCACTTGTTTGAAGCACCAAATGTAAAAAACAAATAATAGAAATGTATGAAAGTGTATAAGACTGCAAACAGCTGGGCGTTCATAAGCAAACACAATCAGCTCTGCCAAGTGTGAGTCCTTCTTTACTCACCAGACAGCCAGTCACTTGTCTCAAGATCCCTAAAGGGAAGAAGTAGGGTCTGCCGGCTGCTGATCACTCTGCTAGCATCAGCAGCCTCTTCAGACGCTCCAACAACGGAAAACACAAGAGCCCATCCACAGCAGCTGTGGATCAAGATTTACTTGCTCTTTCCATCTGTTATGGTTCCTATTGCAAAAATGCCTGTTTGTGTCTTTACTTAAGAAGGGTACAAAGCTGCTGTATGAAAAAGAGTTCCTCCTCTCTGAAAAACCCCTCACTTTACTTTCCATTCATTCAGTTCACCCGCGTTTGTATCTCATTTTCTCTCATTGAGTGCACATGCACATTAACAGACTCTTTCCTCGGACAGGCACATGCACGTGAAAGCATACACATGTGCAGACAGCGAGCTCACCCCACACAAAGCTCCCCAGTGTGTTAACAGAGGCGCACAGCTGACAAGAGTGAAAAGCTCAACAGTGAAAGAGTTTCAACAATGGGGACCATGGGCCCTAGGAACAGAGAAGCAGGCCTCTCTGGAATCTATGGGGCAAATATTTCACAATTCAAAAAAAAAAAAAAAAAGAAAGAAAGAAAGGAAAAGAAAACCAGAGTGACCTCCAAATCCCTTTCCTCTGACGCACATTTACACACACAGTCCAAAGCACAGTGGCAGAGGCTTCAAAGGATACACAGCAACTTATTACAAGGAAATAACTTTGACAAAGTTGCTTTGCAAAGACGCTGCTTAATTGGTTTCCGCATATACTTTTCTGCTCCTGTGATTAAATGCTAAAAATGTTTTTCTTTTTTCTTGTTATGCAGCATGACTCACCTGAGCTACTATTCCCTAAGCCTGGCAATACACAGCACTGTGCAGATTCAAGTACATCTTGGTGAGCAACAGAGCCTTAACCAAAGTCAACATGACATCATTAGAGGGGAACACAATAACAGGACAATGCTGCGGACAACATATCCTGCATCTGGTGCTTCAAATCTAAATTCTATTCGGTCGTTAATGTTTCTGGCTTTAAAGAGCCGTCTGAGTTTGCATGTTATTCACTGTCAGCACATCAAAGAGGCGTGCATCAAAGAAAGACACATGAAGCACAATGTTTCATGTTCACTGACTGAATGATCATGAAAAGAAATATAATTTTAGAACTTTTTTTGCTTCAAGTGGAGATAAAATTAACTCAAGAAGGCTATTTTCCTCCTTTTGCCTTTATAAGATAGAAAAATGTTTAAGCTTCATGTTTAAGTGTGCAAAACACAGCACAATGCAGTGTAGATTACTTTCTTAACTTTTCACATCTTCCATGTATTTGCTCCTTGGGGCAAACCAAAAAGTCAAAAAGTATTACTTATTAATTTCATATCATTTCCTTATGACATGACAGGAGGGAAGATTTTAAATTATTAATGCAGGAAAACCAGTAGAGCAGGCTATAAGGAAGCAAAGCAGTGCTCCCAAGCCTTTACCACAGAGGGAGATGATGATGTAAAAGGTGAATTTGGGGGAAATGACTGGCATTCGTCATAACACACTGGTAAAAACCAACAGGTGTTAGAGCCAGACTTTATTCATTCCGAGCCCGATGTAATCGAGCCCGGTCAAAAGCGGTATGAGAAGTTGAACAGAGTTTAGGTGGATCTCCAGTTAAGTGTTGCATTTTGTAGGTTTCATGCATAAATGTGCAACCCCCAACAAGCGGGGTTGGTGGCTTTAACTTTGAATGCATGTGCATACGTGACAGAATTAAAAAAAAACAACAACAACAACAACAAAACAAGTAAAACGAAAAGATTAAAGTCCAGTGCAGTAAAATCTGGGTCCACTGTAGGGGCTCTAGCCAACCACCCTCAGAGAAAACGAGATAAAGCTCTGCTGGGTCGCCAGAACTGAGGTTTCGATGTAGGTTTTTTTTTTTTTTAAATGCATCTTTGTTGGCAACGTTTTCAAACAACACCCACTTATCGAGGAAACATTTTAAACAGCATTAGCTAATGACTGAGTATTTACGTTCAATGATAGCGATATCTACAAGCAGCAGGCCAGTTCTCATTTACCCAAGGCTTATGATCATAAGAATAGCGTAACAAAAACCCAAAAGAACGGATATGCTGCATGTGAGAATCGGTCTTACTTGGGTGAGCATCTTCATGGGCCCGTGGCGACAATGTATACCGACCTTGCTCCCAAATCCATCCTCTCCCGTACCCGGTGACATTGAGCTCACCGGCTCTGCTGCAGCTTTCTCTCTGTTGTGAAGGAAATCCGCTGAACGAGCGGGTGAACCGACGAATCAACGGCGTCTCTAGGAGTCCGCCGTCTATCTCGTAACCAATAAGAGCCGAGAATTAGGACCACTTCACTCAGTACTTCAGGAGCTGTCCCGGGCATGCGGCGATACACAACAGGTAACCTAACCTGCGCGTCACGCCCCGTGCTAGCTGTACAGGCTATTAACGCTGCAGGGGTTCAAGTCAGGGTCAGGAGACCTACGTGGGCTGTCCAGATTAATGAACACGCAAACAGAAATTTAAAAATGTAGATTTAAATGAAAACAAAAATAGAAAATTCTTTAGTTTGTGCAGGAGACAATTAAAATTTCCAATTTCATTGTACTACTGTACTATGTATGACTGTGCAATGACAATAAAGAGTTATCTTATCTTAAAACGTTTTTCATGTCCACAGATACCTACAAACACACACACATATATATATATTTGCCTTCGGGACACACTAGTTGTCGTTCATTTAAAAACGAATGCTTAATTAAAATAAACTAAACATTTGACGTTTTAGAGTCTTCACTTCAGAAGGCCAAAAACTACAATGAAACTGCAGTAACTTTCTTTGCTTAAAACAAATACTTACCAACATCTTTATTGTGCTCTGTGGATAACCTGTGCAAAAGGTACAAGTTAAAAAAAACAAAACAATATATATGGTACAGGTATGTATCCATGATACAAAATAAATAAAAGGATAAATTGGTAAATGGCCTGGCCTGTATTTATATAGCGCTTTACTAGTCCCTAAGGACCCCAAAGCGCTTTACATATCCAGTCATCCACCCATTCACACACATTCACACACTGGTGATGGTAAGCTACATTGTAGCCACAGCTGCCCTGGGGCGCACTGACAGAGGCGAGGCTGCCGGACACTGGCGCCACCGGGCCCTCTGACCACCACCAGTAGGCAACGGGTGAAGTGTCTTGCCCAAGGACACAACAACCGAGACTGTCCAAGCCGGGGCTCGAGCCGGCAACCTTCCGATTACAAGGCGAACTCCCAACTCTTGAGCCATGAATTTTCTAGCACAATCACATCCAGCAGATATGCAACTCCATTATCCTTTTATTTTAATGTTTATTTATTTATTGGGTTTGTCTTGGTGGATAAATCTGATTGGATAAAGGAGCAGCTGTGTTTACCTGCTAATGGATGTATATAAGGCAATATGCATGTATGCACCATACACCTGGTGTGTATTACTGAACTCTTTGAAATTGCACTAATTGAAATGCTTTTTTAATTTTGTGTTTCCGTTGTTGTTGTTTTTTAAAACAGTGTTAATTTTTTAATCTTCAAGATCTAAGTATAAAGCTGGAGAACTAGCCCACTCTTGAAACCGGTTTTATTTCATAGCTGATTTTCCCCCTACAAACCACCAAAAGTTAATAAAATAAACATCATTATTAACAACAAGAGAAATCTGCAGCATATGAGCTGCAGCAACATCTGGGTCAATTTATCATAGAACGTGACCCAAGTAAAAAAAAAAAAAAAAAAAAAAACATTTGAAGAAAAACACAAAAATGAATTGATGGAGGACTGCCGACATCGAGAATATGGCATACGATGGCAAACAGCACCTACAGCAAGACAATGGTAACTCTGTCCATAGCAGTGAAGGCGGTGGGAACTGACATTCAACATAACAGACATCAGGACGTACTGAGGTGGCATGCGGCTTCTCACATGCAGAGATGTGTACCAAAAATAAAATGTCCATTGGAGGAGAATAAAGCTGTTAGGGACTAAGAGTGTCCAGCAGTTCATTAAAGACTCTTTTTCACATTCTCATACAACCGCTGCATGTTCTGCTTCCTCAACATTCACCATCTCTCCCTCCATCTGTACTTCCACCTGAGAGTTCACCACGTGCTGCCCGTCAACTTCAGTTGTGGTCACGTGTACAACCTGGATCTGCACTCCAGCCTGTTTTAATCTTTCCATGTCCTCCTCACACATCTCTGCCACCCCTCCATCCTCCATTACAACCGTGGCAGTCTCTTCCATCTCCATCACATCTACAGGCTCCACTGTGACGTGTTCAACCTGAATACCGTCTTCCAACAGGACAGTTTCGGCTCCCTCTATGTTCTGTGCTGCTATGGTGAGAGCAGCGGTTGCAGCAGAGTCAGTAATGACCAGTTCGTCGTTTAACTTATCCTCGATGGAATGGACCTCTTTGAGGTGTGCCTTCAGCTCTTTCGGCTGGGTGAACCACATGTCACACATGGTGCAATGGTTGGGCTTGACTCCGGTGTGGCTCACAAGGTGGTCTTTGAACTGGTCCCAGCTGTTGAACACACTACTGCAGACCTGAAGAAGGTGGAGAGCAAAAGAAGAGGTCATGATCATAGCACAGTAATATAGGGAGTAAAGTGATACAACAAATTACAATACAACAATACAACAGTATGTACCGGGACTTTTACTTTGAAAACTGACACGAGTTTCAGTGCTGCCCCATTGAACAACTTTCCGAATCCCTTCAGTGAGAACCTGATGGCCCTGATTGAGGACAAACTGTACCTGGCATTCATAGAGTTTCTTCCGTCCCTTCTTGGCTCCCGCCCCATTCTGACAGGCTGCCATATGGCACTTCAGTGTGCTATTCCGTGCAAATCGCTCATGACAATCTGGACACTCGTAAGGTTTTTCGCCTAAAAATGGGCACAAAAGACAGACATGTGTCTCAATGTCAGAAACACAAAAACAAATCTACTGGACAACTATGATAACTTATGTTTAGTTGCCATACCTTTGTACTTTTCATTATAAACAAAGTGAGTTCAAACAGTGTGAAATTTTCACCTGTGTGCTTTCGCAAGTGCTCCTTAAAGTGTCCGAAGTGGTCAAAGTGCTTCTTGCAGTATTCACAAACATGCACTTTCTTTTGGGGTTTCTGGTTTCGAGACAGTTCCTCGGCATCAAAGTGAAATGTGCTGATGTGCTGCTTCAAGGCACCCTCTCGTGTGTAAGCTTTACCACAGTGGTTACACACGTGGGGCTTCTCCAGCGAGCCCAAGTGTGTTTTCAAGTGCTGTTTAAGATGGTAGTACAGCTTGAAGCTGCGGTCACACTTGTTGCAACGGAACATGTTGTCTGCTTGAGAAATCTGGACCTCGACAATCTCGACATTCTCCAGCACCTTGGAGGCAGTCACCGTTTCCTCATGATACACAACCTCATGCTAAGAAAAAACACAGAAAGAAAAAAAACAAAACAAAACCTCTGAGTTAATTATTTCATGCGTATCAGTTTAACAGTAGAAATCAGAAAAAATGTGCATTTCAGCTTTTATACCTCTTCTATTCCTCCTTTCTTGATCACCTGTATTGTTGGTTGCCCTTGCTGGTATTTGCTAGTTATGTCAGCAAGAAGAGCCAAAGCAGAATCATCTGATGCAGCTTGAGCATTCTTTGCCGCATCAACCACTTCCTCCAGCCCCGACTCCTCCACCTCAATGGGCCCTTCACCTATAACTTCAATCTGCACCTGCAGAACAGGGAAAATATTCAGCCTTAACAACTAAATATAGGACATCAAGCTGACTATAAAAGTGCACTGCAAGCATGCTGACCTGCTCCCCTTCCACTGAGGGTAGGGTTTCTGTAATCACATTCGACGTCTCAGCAATTTTCCTCTTTTTTCCTTTGCTCCTTGCTGTCAATGAAGAGCTTTCATTCATTCTACAAAAGAGGATCATTAAGAGGTCAAATGTTATTCTATTTATTTTTAAGTGAAATCTGGTCAATTCTAAAGCCAAAAGTGATGAGTTCTCACTTATTGTTGAGCGCTTTGATGGCTTCCTGCATCTGTAAATACTCAGCTGCTTTCCAGACATCATATGCCTCCTCTTCACCAGCTACAGCTAGTGTGGCTGTGTATGTGAACTCCATCAGCTGACGAAAGGCAGTGTTGCTCACACCTGTTAAAATATGACAGTAAAAGCAGTGGTGAGTAAAAGCTGATCGTGTGTAACAAAATATCTGTCTATCAGCAGCAAGTCCCAGCTTGGAAGACAGCAATTCTTACAACAAACTTGGAATACTTACATTAAATATAATGCAAAATCTCTTTCTGACACCAATTTAATTTTTGAATGTCTGCATTTTTCATAGTCAGGGATGTACTTTCATATGTTCCTATCACTTAGAAAAATATTCTACATAGCTCTACTACCAAGAGGTGAGAGTGTAATGGTCAAACTATTAAAAAACAAACAAACTGAAAACTGTAAATCAAGCAAGCAAAGTTAAAGCAAGCAATAAGACTGACTGATAAATCAGCTGTCAAACACTAACCAGTATAATCTATATTAAGGATATATTATAGCCAGTATGCAAAGGAGTTCTTAAATAATGTTTCCAAGTGTTTCCACTATAAAGTTTGCCCACCAGAGAGCTAAACCATAAACTGCAATAAACTGTAATGTGTCCTCTCAGAAGGCATCTAAGTCATGAATTAAAAACAAACAAACTAAAACATAAATCTGACATCAAGCTCAATACTATTATACAATTTGTTAAGTTCTCAAACAGCAATCTTCTCATTTTTCTCATAATCCACTATGGCTCAAGCTATGATCAAGAGTACTTATTTGGATTAAGGAAGGGAAGGAGGGAAAAAAGCTTTAGTAAAAGTTGAGTTAAAATCATTCGGTTTTGTAAAACCACATTTACTCTAAACTACTGTATTAATAGTGACAGCGAAATTCATCTATAGGTGGAACAGTCTCTCTGGACATATTCTTCCTGTTATGACACAATGTAGTGCCGCAAGTATAACTAACACACTACATACCTTCTATCTCCACCAGTGGCTCTTGGGTATAATCCTGAAAAAACTTGTGGAAAAATTGACTGCATGCTGCCAACACTGCTTTATGGGCTCTGAACTGGTGTCCTGGAAAAGACATGAAAAATGGAAATTAGTGTTGCCTCAGAATTTAACGTTAAACTTATAAAGATTACTTACACCAAATGCCTGTTTACCATCCACTATCAAGGTAATATCTGTAAACTGATCCAGCTGTCGCTGTTCGTTAAGTTTGTCCATCATGACTTTGTAATGTGCTGGGTACTCGCTGCCCACAGTGGCCTCCACTTCCACCTCCACCTCCGCTGCCATTATTGTCTGATCTGTCTTCTGTAGGAAGAGAGGAAGATATATATATATATATATATATATATATATATATATATATAT